AGTCCCCGGACCAGACAATCTCATCAATGTCTCTACGCTGTGAACCATGGGGAATTAAAGACAAGAGCAAATGTCATCAACAAGGGGGACAGGGGAATGGACAGGAGCAGCAAAAGGGAGGTACACTCACACACATACTCACACTCACATACTCACACTCACACACTCAAACACACACACTCACACACTCACATGCTTACACTCACACTCATACACACATACACTCACACACACTCACACACACACTCACACACACTCACACACACACTCACACTCACACACTCACACACAGTTAAGTCTGAATTTAGCTGGGCCTGCAGTTCATTAATGAGACAAAACTTAACAATATCATCAAACAACAATGGAAACAAAGACTCGTTCAAATGCAGTTGGGGCCTCCATCCCAGAAGAATTTCCTTCCCGTCTTCCCTTTACACCGTGTGAGGTTGGGGGGCAGGGCCCTGTAGGGGGGTCACAGCACCGTGTCTTCCAAAACCCGGTCCCTCTGCCCCAGAGCAGGTCCCCACAGGCTCTCTGAGGCCTGGGCGCGTGACCCGCGGGCTCAGCTGTGAGGACAGAGTCAGGGACCGAGGCCCAAGCTGAGATCATGTCAGGGTTGGACGGAGCCTCCAGACGCTGGAAAGAGACAAGAGAGCACCTACCGGGGCCTCCCTGGAAGGGCGGGCCTGCCAGCACCTTGACCTCAGACTAGAGCCCCACCCCTGAGAGGGACCCTCTCCCTGGTTCTGGGGGGCTCAGTCTGTGGGCCTTTGTGGCAGCGTCTCCAGGTCACATCCCGTCAGGACAGTCCATCCTGCTCAGCCTGGGGGTGAGCTGAGCTGCAGCACCAGGGATCAGGGGGCTGGGCAGTCCCTGGAGGGACCACATCTGCAGGGACGGACCCTCCTCTGGCCGAGGGCGGGAGGGGAGGAGGCCTGGCAGCCCCAGCGCCTGGCCCGGGCCTGGGGACCCTCCTAAGCTCGGCCACCGGCTCAGAGCAGGGATTTGCACTTTCTCCTGAGAGGACATCACCAGGGACCTCTGTGCTCCCAGGAGCGGGAACTGGGCTCCATCCCCTGCTGACCCCGTGGCTGGGAGGTGTGGGTCCAGATCAGAGGGAACACAGACAGGAAGTTCCCCTCATGGGCCCCCGGGCCTCCCTCTGCCCCACCCTCCTCACTAGTGCATTTGGGTCTGGAAACCCAGCAGGGAAACCTGCAAGGTAGTTCCTGCCTCACCCTGACCAGCTCTGACCCCTGACCTCCCCATTGTCCTGACACATTCAGATCCAATAAAAACCACAGCCCCTCCGATCAGGGGGCCGTGACCTGAGGTCCAGTTCCCCCAGGAAAGTGAGAAACAGCACCAACCCCACAGCCTGGCCTCCCTTTCCCAGAGGGAGGACCTGGGAGGCAGGGTCCTGGCTGCCATGGAGACGCTGCCCCCCTCTCCTTGGAGCCTCTGCCTCCCCCACCTCCCTCAGGGGGCACAGGCCCTGGGCCCTGCACATGACCTCTGACCCCACACCCCAGGGTGCATCTCCTTCTGCTTCCATCCCCAAAAGTGCTCCCCCAGGTCACCGTGAGGTCATTGCTTAGTGTCCCCCCCTCACAGGCTCTGGTCCTGGTGGTGCTGTCACTGTCCCTTCCCCTTCTGTGTCCAGGGAGCTGGGGTCACAGTGAGTCTCAGTCAGACAATCAGACACCAGACTCTCCTATGGACAGAAAACAGACGAGTGGGAAATATTATATTCAATTTCCCTATTAATGAGGATGCCAGTTACTAGGTAAAGCTTGACCTTAAAGCATGTGTAGAAACGCAATATGTATAATCTACTGGACAGAAGGGAAGGACATTGAAAGAGTGTAATTAATTTCTAACAAGGGAGGGAGATATTAAAGAAAACTGTGTCCTGAAAATTAGGGAACTCGCCTGCTGGGGACAGTCACTGCTCTGGACCTGATCCTGGGAGGAAAGTTCTTTAAGTGACACCAGCTCAGTTCTGACCATGAAAAGCCAGGGAGACGGGTCCTGACTCCCAGGAGGAAGCAGAGGGGAACATAGAGAGTGTCCTGAGGGGAGGCCATAGAGGGGACCCTGGCCTGGCCCTAGGGCAGGGGCAGTGGACAGAGCAGTGGGAAGACAGAGGTGGCCTCTCATGGGTTCTGGCCCCCATGTCACTCAATGGTGTGTCTGGGCCTGGACACTAGAGGGCGCTGGGGGTTTGCTCCTGAGGGATCTGGGTGCTCAGAGCTGGGACCAGCCCCTGACAAAGCCCAGGACCATCTGCTCAGGGCTGTCAGCTGTGACTTCCCCAAACCTGGACCCACACAGTCCCACCCCCGCCCACACCAATGGCCATCCTCAGGCAGAGGGCCCTGCCCAGGGCCCAGGGAGGGATCAGATAGATGGGGTCTCATTTGCATGAGTGGGCCCTCCCTCCCGCAGACTATGAAGAGGGGAAGGGAGAGGTGTGGGGAGCTCTGCTTCAGCTGTGGGGCCTCAGGAGCAGGACTCAGGGATGACCTCCACCATGGCCTGGGCCCCTCTCCTCCTCACCCTCCTGGCTCACTGCACAGGTGACTGGATGAGGGAACAGTGAAGGGGCCTTGGGAAGACACATGGGCCCTGCTTCCTCCTCTTGTCTCTACACCCAGACTCACCATCTCTGTGTCTCCCCCTCTTGCAGGATCCTGGGCCCAGTCTGCGGTGACTCAGCCATCCTCAGTGTCGGGGTCCCTGGGCGAGAGGGTCACCATCTCCTGCACTGGAAGTGGCAACAACATTGAGCGTGGTAACTATGTGTCTTGGCACCAACAGCTCCCAGGAAAGGCCCCCAAATGCATCATCTATGGTACTAGCAGCAGACCCTCAGGGATTCCGGACCGATTCTCTGGCTCCAGGTCTGGCAGCTCAGCCTCCCTGACCATCACGGGGCTGCAGGCTGAGGACGAGGCCGACTATTACTGCTCAACATGGGACACCATTCTCAATGGTGCCACAGTGCTCCAGGCCTGTGGGGAAGTGAGACAAAAACCCCTCTGGTCTGCGAGGGGGTGAGCTCTCCAGCAGCTGCCTGTTCAGCTCAGCCTGTGACCTGTGGCTTCTGCTTATTCCCTTGCTGAAGCCCTGGGCCCGGGTTCATCCGGGGACCCTGCCTGGGGGTGAACGGCCCTCCCTCACCCTGCAACTTCCATGTCACTCAGAGCAGCGCTTTCCCAGGCTCAGGGTCCTGGAGGAAGGGAAGGCCTGTCCCACCCTCAGGGCCCGTTCCCTCCCCCTGGGCTGCACTCACTGGGCCTGTGATGCTGAGATGAGTGACAGCTGGTTGTCCCCGCCCCTGCCTGGGGCTCAGCACTGTGTGCTGTGCTGGAAGGACCCCTGGCCCTGTTCCATTCCATCAGGATTTACTCCCTTTAAGCCGTGCTACTGGTTTCCATTTGCTCTGTGATTTTAAGCACAAAAATCGGCCATTCACAGCTGTCACTATAGTAGATTGGGGGGTGCCATGGTGGGCGCTGAAGGGGGTGGTCCCAGTGGGTGAAGGGGTCCAGGAGGGGACACTTCAGGCTGTGACTACCTGGCTCTGGGTGTGTGGACAGCATGGGGACCGGCAGGGGGCGCTGTCACACTGTGTCTGTGAAAGCAGCTCAGAGACTGGATCTTAACTGTTCTCAGCACAAGAAATAGCAAAACTTGTAGCCACGTCTGATGGCAGAGGTCAAGGAGACGTATTCTGGGATGGTTCTTCAGTTTACACCTCACAGCGTCCTTATGTCTTACACCTGACACTAATTAATGTCAATTACATCAATATAAAAAATAAAATAATAATGAATCTGAATCTTCTTCCGACAGAAAAACCAGCACTAGGAAGTCTGTAAGTAGCTTTATTACCTCCCCTCGCCCATCCAGACTGAGAGCAGCCAGGAGTCAGTGCCTGGAGGTGTGTGACAGCTGTGAGTGTAGGGATGTCCTCCAATAAGAGGTTGAGATGGTTTAAAAAGGCGATGTGTCCCGGCCGTCATGGCTCAGTGGTTGAGCATTGATCTTGAACCAGGAGGTCACAGTTCAAATCCTGCTCAGGCAGGACACATGTCCAGGTTGTGGCCTCCATTCCCAGTGGGGGTTGTGCAAGAGGCAGCCAATCCATGATTCTCTCTCATCATTGATCTTTGTATCTCCCTCTCCCTCTCCCATGCACTCTGTAATCAATAAACATATATCTTAAAAAAAGAAGAAAGGCTGGTTGGAGGTTTTTAATACGTAGATCTTAAAGGACATGAAGCACCCTTCTTACTGCTGGTTAGGGTTCCTCCTACCTCAGACCCCACCCCCCCATCTCCTGTGAATGATTTAATCCCCCTCCAGCCCCCAGTGGTTTCAGGGAAAACTGCCTGAATCTGTGGCCCAAAGGTTGGGAGGCTCATTGTCCGTGTGACCATCGGAAGCTGGGTCTCTGCTTCCTCACTTGTCCCCCAAGCTGGTCACCCCGAGACGTGAAGCTGCGGGTCTGCTGGTGAAAAGGCCTCTCCAGGGCCTGTGGCAGGTGCTTCTCCTCTGGGGACGGACGGAAGCTCCTAGAACCTCCCCGTGGGGGTCACTGGGTAGCCACTATGGATTTCCAACCGGCAGGACCCGGTCACAGGGCACAGCTCCCAACTCAACACTGAAACGTAAAGTGATGTTAGAAAACGTTAATTCACACCTTTCAACCCAGAGCAGAAGGCACAGTGTTTCCAATGCTTTTCCATCAATTCCTCTAACAACAATTTACACCAATATGCATCATTGTAGAATTTTTAAATGAGCCTCATTTTGACTTTCACATAAAATAACATACATGCATTTCAAGGTGGCTGAGTGCTGACTAATATATAAAGTTATTAAATGAAGCCCTAGCACAACAATTAGAAACTTTAACCACAGTTTTGCTCAGCGCGTCCTGCATGTTCCCCTTTTCCTCTCAGATAAATGCCAACGTCTGACTGTGCGTTGAGAACAGATCCCAGGAGTGACCACAGCCCACGGCTCATGGAGAACGATGGTGTCAGGAGGAGGAAATATGGACAGAAAATAACAGTGACCCTGACCCCGGACGAGGACAGCCCACGAGGGCTTCCTCCCCCCCCTGCCCAGCCCTGGGGAAGGGCCCCTTTCTCCTCGGGGCCCTGGGTCCACGGGAAGGAGGCCTCCCGCCACCAGGAGTGAATCCCACACAAGACAGAGCCGAGTCCCTCACAGAAGGGGACGCGCCCCCACGGGGCTGTGCCTGCTCTGGCCCTGACCTGAGCCCTGACCCTGGTCTAAGAGCTGGTGCAGGAGCCGCCACTTGAGTCCTGACCACGGACCAGCCCAGGGAGCTGTGTTCAGACTCCCCCTGAGGACACCGAGTAGAGGCTGAAGGTGCCGAGAGGTGAGGGGAGGCGACGAGAGGGGACCCTGGCCTGGCCCTAGGGCAGGGGCAGTGGGCAGAGCAGTGGGAAGGCAGAGGTGGCCTCTCATGGGTTCTGGCCCCCATGTCACTCAATGGTGTGTCTGGGCCTGGACACTAGAGGGCGCTAGGGGTTTGCTCCTGAGGGATCTGGGTGCTCAGAGCTGGAACCAGCCCCCTGACAAAGCCCAGGACCATCTGCTCAGGGCTGTCAGCTGTGACCTCCCCAAACCTGGGCCCACACAGTCCCACCCCCGCCCACACCAATGGCCATCCTCAGGCAGAGGGCCCTGCCCAGGGCCCAGGGAGAGACATAGATGGGGTCTCATTTCCATAACAGGACCCTCCCTCCTGCAGACTATGAAGAGGGGAGGGGAGAGGTGTGGGGAGCTCTGCTTCAGCTGTGGGGCCTCAGGAGGCAGGACTCAGGGATGACCTCCACCATGGCCTGGGCCCCTCTCCTCCTCACCCTCCTGGCTCACTGCACAGGTGACTGGATGAGGGGACGGGGAAGGGGCCTTGGGAAGACACATGGGCCCTGCTTCCTCCTCTTGTCTCTAGACCCAGACTCACCATCTCTGTGTCTCCCCCTCTTTCAGGATCCTGGGCCCAGTCTGTGCTGACTCAGCCATCCTCAGTGTCGGGGTCCCCGGGCCAGAGGGTCACCATCTCCTGCACTGGAAGCAGCACCAACATTGGGCGTGGTGACTATGTGTCCTGGTACCAGCAGCTCCCAGGAAAGGCCCCAAACTCCTCATCTATGAGAGCAGCAAACGACCCACAGGGATTCCGGACCGATTCTCTGGCTCCAGGTCTGGCAGCTCAGCCTCCCTGACCATCACGGGGCTGCAGGCTGAGGACGAGGCCGACTATTACTGTGAGTCATACGAGAGCAGTATTGATGGTCGCACAGTGCTGCAGGCCTGTGGGGAAGTGAGACAAAAACCCCTTAGGTCTGTGAGAGGGTGAGCTCTCCAGCAGCTGTCTGTCAGCTCAGCCTGTGACCTGTGGCTTCTGCTTATTCCCTTGCTGACGCCCTGGGCCCAGCTTCATCCGGGGACCCTGCCCTGGAGTGAAGGGTCCTCCCTCCCCTGCAGCCTCCATGTCACTCAGAGCAGCGCTTTCCAAGGCTCAGGGTCCTGTAGGAAGGGAAGGCCTCTCCCCACCTGCGGGGGGCGGTTCCCTCCCCCTGGGCTGCACTCACTGGGCCTGTGAGGCTGAGATGAGTGACAGCTGGTTGGGTCCGCCCCTGCCTGGGGCTCAGCACTGTGTGCTGTGCTGGAAGGACCCCTGGCCCTGTTCCATCCCATCAGGATTTACTCCCTTTAAGCCATGCGACTGGTTTCCATTTGCTCTGTGATTTTAAGCCCCCAAATCGGCAATTCCCAGCTGTCACTATAGCAGATTGGGGGGTGCCATGGTGGGCGCTGAAGGGGGTGGTCCCAGTGGGTGAAGGGGTCCAGGAGGAGACACTTCTGGCTGTGACTACCTGGCTCTGGGAGTGTGGACAGCATGGGGACCGGCAGGGGGCGCTGTCACACTGTGTCTCTGAAAGCAGCTGAGAGACTGGATCTTCAGTGTCCTCAGCACAAGAAATAGCAGAACTTGTAGCCACGTCTGATGGCTGAGGTCAAGGAGACGTATTCTGGGATGGTTCTGCAGTTTACACCTCACAGCGTCATTATGTTGTGCACCTGATACTAATTAATCTCAATTACATCTCAATTAAAAATAAATTAAAATAAATCTGAATCTTCTGTTTCCAAAAAACCAGCACGTGGAAGTCTATAGCAGCTTTATTAACACCCTAGCAGTGGTTGGCAAACTCATTAGTCAACAGAGCCAAAAACAGAATCAAAAATTGAAATTTCTTTTTTTTAAAAAATATATTTTATTGATTTTTTACAGAGAGGAAGGGAGAGAGCTAGATAGTTAGAAACATTGATGAGAGAGAAACATCGATCAGCCGCCTCCTGCACATCCCCCACTGGGGATGTGCTCGCAACCCAGGTACATGCCCTTGACCGGAATCGAACCGGGGACGCTCCAGTCCACAGGCGAAAGCTCCATCCACTCAGCCAAACCGGTCTCGGCTGAAATTTCTTTTGAGAGTCAAATTTTTTAAACTTAAACTATATAGGTAGGTACATTGTTATTAACTTAATTAGGTCCTCCGAAGGCTTAGGAAGAGCCACACTCAAGGGACCAAAGAGCCACACGTGGCTTGTGAGCCTGTTTGCGGACCACTGCTTAGACCAGTGGTTCTCACCTTGGCTGCACATTAGAATCACCTGGGAATCTTGTTAAAATCCTGATTTCTGGGCCTCATCATTAGTAACAAAGAAACAGAATTTCCGCAGGATGAGGCCAGAAATCAGAATTTTAACAAGATTCCCAGGTGATTGTAATGTGAGCCAAGGTTGAGAACCCCTGCCCTAGACTGAGAGCAGCCAGGAGTCGGTGCCTGGAGGTGTGTGACAGCTGTGAGTGGCGGGATGTCCTCCAATAAGAGGTAGGGACGATTTTAAAAGGCGATGAGGCCCGGCCGGATTGGCCCAGTTGTTGAGCGTCAACCTATGAACCAGGAGGTCACGGGTCAATTCCTGGTCAGGAAGGACGCATGTCTGGGTTTTGGGCTCCATCCCCAGTGAGGTGTGTGCAAGAGGCAGCTGATCCATGATTCTCTCTCATCATTGATCTTTCTATCTCTCCCTCTCCTTCTCCCTCTCCCTCTCCCTTCCTCTCTGAAATCAATAAACATATGTCTTAAAAAAAGAAGAAGGCTGGTTTGGAGTTTTTTAATACCTAGATCTTCAAAGGACATGAAGCACCCTTCTTCCTGCTGGTTAGGGTTCCTCAGACAACCCCCCCCCCCCCATCTCCTGTGAATGATTTAATTCCCCTCCAGCCCCCAGTGGTTTCAGGGAAAACTGCCTGAATCTGTGGCCCAAAGGTTGGGAGGCCCATTGTCCATGTGACCATCGGAAGCTGGGTCTCTGCTTCCTCACTTGGCCCCCAGGCTGGTCACTCCGAGACGTGAAGCTGCGGGTCTGCTGGTGACAAGGCCTCTCCACGGCCTGTGGCAGGTGCTTCTCCTCCGGGGACGGGCGGAAGCTCCTAGAACCTCCCCGTGGGGGTCACTGGGCAGCGACTATGGATTTTCAACTGTTAGGACCAGATCACAGGGCACAGCTCCCATCTCACGACTGAAATGTAAAGTGATGTTAGAAAACGTCAATTCACACCTTTTCAGCCCAGAGCAGAAGGCACAGCGTTTCCAATGCTTTTACATCAATTCCTCTAACAACAATTTCCACCAATATGCATCATTGTAGAATTTTTAAATCAGCCTCATTTTGACATTCACATATAAAACATACATGCATTTCAAGCTGGCTGAGCGGTGACTAATATATAAAGTTATTAAATGAAGCCCTAGCACAGCAATTAGAAATTTTAACCACAGTTTTGCTCAGCGCGTCCTGCATGTTCCCCTTTTCCTCTGAGATAAATGCCAACGTCTGACTGTGCGTTGAGAACAGATCCCAGGAGTGACCACAGCCCACGGCTCATGGAGAACGATGGTGTCAGGAGGAGGAAATATGGACAGAAAATAACAGTGACCCTGACCCCGGACGAGGACAGCCCACGAGGGCTTCCTCCCCACCCCCCTGCCCAGCCCTGGGGAAGGGCCCCTTTCTCCTCGGGGCCCTGTGTCCCCGGGAAGGAGGCCTCCCGCCACCAGGAGTGAATCCCACACAAGACAGAACCGAGTCCCTCACAGAAGGGGACGCGCCCCCACGGGGCTGTGCCTGCTCTGGCCCTGACCTGAGCCCTGACCCTGGTCTAAGAGTTGGTGCAGGAGCCGCCACTTGAGTCCTGACCACGGACCAGCCCAGGGAGCTGTGGTCAGACGCCCCCTGAGGACGCCGAGTGGAGACTGAAGGTGCCCCGAGGTGAGGGGAGGCCATAGAGGGGACCCTGGCCTAGCCCTGGGGCAGGGGCAGAGGACAGAGCAGTGGGAAGGCAGAGGTGGCCTCCATGGGTTCTGGCCCCCATGTCACTCAATGGTGTGTCTGGGCCTGGACACTAGAGGGCGCTGGGGGTTTGCTCCTGAGGGATCTGTGTGCTCAGAGCTGGGATGAGCCCCTGACAAAGCCCAGGACCCTCTGCTCAGGGCTGTCAGCTGTGACTTCCCCAAACCTGGGCTTCCCACACAGCCCCACCCCCGCCCACACCAATGGCCATCCTCAGGCAGAGGGCCCTGCCCAGGGCCCAGGGAGGATCAGATAGATGGGGTCTCATTTGCATAACAGGACCCTCCCTCCTGCAGACTATGAAGAGGGGAAGGGAGAGGTGTGGGGAGCTCTGCTTCAGCTGTGGGGCCTCAGGAGCAGGACTCAGGGATGACCTCCACCATGGCCTGGGCCCCTCTCCTCCTCACCCTCCTGGCTCACTGCACAGGTGACTGGATGAGGGGACGGGGAAGGGGCCTTGGGAAGACACATGGCCCTGCTTCCTCCTCTTGTCTCTAGACCCAGACTCACCATCTCTGTGTCTCCCCCTCTTGCAGGATCCTGGGCCCAGTCTGTGCTGACTCAGCCATCCTCAGTGTCGGGGTCCCCGGGCCAGAGGGTCACCATCTCCTGCACTGGAAGCAGCACCAACGTTGGGTATGGTGACTATGTGTCCTGGTTCCAGCAGCTCCCAGGAAAGGCCCCCAAACTCCTCATCTATGAGAGCAGCAAACGACCCACAGGGATTCCGGACCGATTCTCTGGCTCCAGGTCTGGCAGCTCAGCCTCCCTGACCATCACGGGGCTGCAGGCTGAGGACGAGGCTGTCTATCACTGCTCATCACCAGACAGCAGTAGTGGTGGTACTCACAGTGCTCCAGGCCTGTGGGGAAGTGAGACAAAAACCCCTCAGGTCTGCGAGGGGGTGAGCTCTCCAGCAGCTGCCTGCTCAGCTCAGCCTGTGACCTGTGGCTTCTGCTTATTCCCTCGCTGACGCCCTTGGCCAGTGATGGCGAACCTTTTGAGCTCGGTGTGTCAGCATTTTGAAAAACCTTAACTTGCCGAAACCGGTTTGCCTCAGTGGATAGAGCATCAGCCTGCGGACTGAAGGGTCCCGGGTTCGATTCCGGTCAAGGGCATGTAACTGGGTTGCGGGCACATCCCCAGTGGGGGATGTGCAGGAGGCAGCTGATCGATGTTTCTAACTCTCTATCTCTCCCCCTTCCTCTCTGCAAAAAATCAATAAAATATATTTAAAAACAACAACAAAAAGAAAAACCTTAACTTAACTCTGGTGCTGTGTCACATAAAGAAATTTTTTGATATTTGCAACCATAGTGAAACAAAGACTTATATTTATGATATTTATTTTATATATTTAAATGCCATTTAACAAAGAAAATCAACGAAAAAAAAGAGTTCGTGTGTCACCTCTGACACGCATGTCATAGGTTCGCCATCACTGCCCTGGGCCCAGCTTCACCCGTGGACCCTGCCTGGGGATGAACGGTCCTCCCTCCCCTCTGGCCTCCGTGTCACTCAGAGCAGCGCTTTCCCAGGCTCAGGGTCCTGCAGGACGGGAAGGTCTCTCACCACTCTTGGGGCCCATTCCCTCCCCCTGGGCCTCACTCACTGGGCCTGTGAGGCTGAGATGAGTGACAGCTGGTTGGCCCCGACCCTGCCTGGGGCTCAGCACTGTGTGCTGTGCTGGAAGGACCCCTGGCCCTGTTCCATCCCATCAGGATTTACTCCCTTTAAGCTGTGCCACTGGTTTCGATTTGCTCTGTGATTTTAAGCACAAAAATCGGCAATTCACAGCTGTCACGATAGCAGATTGGGGGGTGCCATGGTGGGCGCTGAAGGGGGTGGTCCCAGTGGGTGAAGGGGTCCAGGAGGAGACACTTCCTGCTGTGACTTCCTGGCTCTGGGAGTGTGGACAGCATGGGGACCCGGCAGGGGGCGCTGTCACACTGTGTCTGTGAAAGCAGCTGAGAGACTGGATCTTAACTGTTCTCAGCACAAGAAATAGCAAAACTTGTAGCCACGTCTGATGGCAGAGGTCAAGGAGACGCATTCTGGGATGGTTCTGCAGTTTACACCTCACAGAGTCATTATGTCGTACACCTGACACTAATTAATGTCAATTACATCTTAATTAAAAATAAATTAAAATAAATGTTAATGTTCTGTCCACAAAAAAAAGGCACGTGGAGTCTGAAGTTGCTTTATTAACCCCCTCGAGTGAGAGCAGTCAGAATCGCCTGGGGCCAGTGGGCATTGGCCGCTGTTGCTAGGAGCTGAGGGCATAATTTCTGTCCTGCGGATGATGGACGCCAGGGGCAGTGACTGTGGCTGTGCCGCCCAGAGACAGGCCTGGCGCCGACACCGCTGTGTCCTGGGAGCTCTGCCTGCAGCAGGAGCTTCTGTTCCTGGGACGGATGGAAGCTCCTAGAAACTCCTCGTGGGGGTCACTGGGCAGCGACTGGGGATTTCCAACCGGCAGGACCCGACCACAGGGCACAGCTCCCAACTCACCACTGAAATGTAAAGTGATGTTAGAAAACGTCTATTCACACCTTTCAACCCGGAGCAGAAGGCGTTCCGTTACCAATGCTTTTCCATCAATTCCTCCGCCCACAGTTTCCACCAATATGCACCATCCTAGAATTTTTAAATCAGCCTTATTGTGACTTTCACAGGTAATAACATACATGCATTTGAAGCTGGCTGAGTGCTGACTAATATAGTGTAAAGTGTTAAATAAACCCAATCACAGCAATTAGAAAACATCAACATTTTTTTGACAGCAGGTCCCCCTGTTCCCCTTTTCCTCTCAGATAAATGCCAACGTCTGACTGTGCGTTGAGAACAGATCCCAGGAGTGACCACAGCCCACGGCTCATGGAGAACGATGGTGTCAGGAGGAGGAAATATGGACAGAAAATAACAGTGACCCCTGACCCCAGACGAGGACAGCCCACGAGGGCTTCCTCCCCCCCTGCCCAGCCCTGGGGAAGGGCCCCTTTCTCCTCGGGGCCCTGGGTCCACGGGAAGGAGGCCTCCTGCCACCAGGAGTGAATCCCACACAAGACAGAACCGAGTCCCACACAGAAGGGGACGCGCCCCACGGGCTGTCCCTGCTCTGGCCCTGACCTGAGCCATGACCCTGGTCTAAGAGTTGGTGCAGGAACCGCCACTTGAGTCCTGACCACGAACCAGCCCCGGGAGCTGTGGTCAGACTCCCCCTGAGGACGCCGAGTAGAGACTGAAGGTGCCCCGAGGTGAGGGGAGGCCATAGAGGGGACCCTGGCCTGGCCCTAGGGCAGGGGCAGTGGACAGAGCAGTGGGAAGGCACAGTTGGCCTCTCATGGGTTCTGGCCCCCATGTCACTCAATGGTGTGTCTGGGCCTGGACACTAGAGGGCGCTGGGGGTTTGCTCCTGAGGGATCTGGGTGCTCAGAGCTGGGACCAGCCCCTGACAAAGCCCAGGACCCTCTGCTCAGGGCTGTCAGCTGGGACTTCCCCAAACCTGGGCCCACACAGACCCACCCCCGCCCACACCAATGGCCATCCTCAGGCAGAGGGCCCTGCCCAGGGCCCAGGGAGAGATCAAATAGATGGGGTCTCATTTGCATAACAGGACCCTCCCTCCTGCAGACTATGAAGAGGGGAAGGGAGAGGTGTGGGGAGCTCTGCTTCAGCTGTGGGGCCTCAGGAGCAGGACTCAGGGATGACCTCCACCATGGCCTGGGCCCCTCTCCTCCTCACCCTCCTGGCTCACTGCACAGGTGACTGGATGAGGGGACGGGGAAGGGGCCTTGGGAAGACACATGGGCCCTTCTTCCTCCTCTTGTCTCTACACCCAGACTCACCATCTCTGTGTCTCCCCCTCTTGCAGGATCCTGGGCCCAGTCTGTGCTGACTCAGCCACCCTCAGTGTCGGGGTCCCTGGGCGAGAGGGTCACCATCTCCTGCTCTGGAAGCAGCACCAACGTTGGGGGTAATGGTGTAGAGTGGTACCAACAGGTTCCAAGAAAGGCCCCCAAACTCCTCATCTATGATAATAGCAACCGACCATCAGGGATTTCGGACCGGTTCTCTGGCTCCAGGTCTGGCAGCTCAGGCACCCTGACCATCACGGGGCTGCAGGCTGAGGACGAGGCCGACTATTACTGCTCAGCATGGGACAGCACTCTTGGTGGTGCCACAGTGCTGCAGGCCTGTGGGGAAGTGAGACAAAAACTTCTCTCATCTGTGAGGTGGTGACTTCTCCAGCAGCTGCTGTTCAACTATGAAGCCAGAGGCCATGGTTTGATTTCTCGTCCGTGGACATGCCTGGGTTGTGGGCTCCATCCCCAGGTCTGGGTGTGCAGGAGGCAGCCCCTCCATGATTCTCTCTCACCATTGATGTTTCTCCCTCTCTCCCTCTCCCTTCCTCTCTGACATCAATAAAATATATTGAAGAAGGCGATGTGATTCACAGTGTGATTCTAAGGATCAAAGTTTGGGAGAGAAAACTCTAGATTGAATGTGAACAGATTTCAGTAGAAGAAGAATCTGACGATGTGAACCCAAAGCCTTCCCTCAGGGGCAATGGGATTGTGAACAGGACACGGTAATGACAGCTCAGTGACACCCGGCTCTGTCCGTCCGTGGAACCTCCCAGTGACTGAGCCTGACTGTGTCACGGAAAAGGTCACTGAGGACGGGGAGGGTCTCCCGGTGGATGGGGAGTGTGAGCAGGGCCCTCCTGTTCCCACATGAAGTGTGAGCACCTCCTGGAGGGGGGGGGAGCTGCTGGCCTCAGGCCTTTACCGAGGGGAGCCTGTGAGCCTCAGGCAAAGGGCCTGAGCTGTGTCACATGGGCGTCTCTGAGCCCCTGGGCAGCTCTGCGCTCTTGATGTCCAGGGATTTTCTGTCCTTTAATAGATGGAAGCTGTGTGCATGGTATTTTGTAGTTGAAGTTCTGAGTTTTTGTTGTTTGTTCTGATATTGTTTATTTATCCGTAATCTTTTTATCTCCTTCGTCTTCTTGAAGAGGGTGACTCTGAATTCTTGGTCAGAATATTCAGGCACCTCCATTTCCTGGGTCCTGAGGGCCCTTTATTGGAGCCCAGGGCTGCTCTCCTATGAGCTGATCCCTGAGGACCCGCAGCCTTGCGGGCATTTATGCATTTGAAGGAGCAGCCGCCTTGGCTGCCTTTATGCCCAGGAGCCGGGAGGTCACTTGGCTCTGACTCCCAAGGGCTGATGGGATTGCCCCTCTGATCGCAGTCAGCAGGGGCTGTGTGCCCTCACGGGGCTGCAGCCGGGCCTTTTCTGTGGCTCTGAGCTGGCAGGCCTGTTGCCGGGCCTCAGGGCGGTGTCCTCAGGGTCAGGCCGGCCCCAGGGTCAGGGTCGGCAGCGACGGCTCCGAGAGGAGATGTGGCTCAGGGCCTCCGTGGAGTCTGCACACAGCTGGCCCGTGACCAGGTGTGGGGAGGGCTGGTTCCCGGGTCCCTGGGAAGGTCCCACAGGGACAGGATGGGCCCCTGAACCCGGGTCAGAGGAGCTGACCTGAGGCTGAGGGGCGGCTGCTGGGGCCTCAGCCAGCTGGTCGGGACGGCCGAGGACTCTGCAGCCTCCTGAGCGGCCTGCTCTGCTCCGTCCACGTCCAGGGCGGCGGCACCAGCCACAGCCAGGTCCCCAAGAGGCGGTCACGGCACATGGTGGCCAGCGTGCATCATGGCCGGCCCAGGGACAGTGGGTGAGGGTGGCGTGGGCCAGGGGAAGGGCCCCAGGCTGTGCCACACCCACCTCTCACCCCAGGGGAGGGAGCCATGGCCAAGGGTGGTGAGCATCTGCCCCCTAACCCAGGCCAGCCACACCTGCCCCGCCCAGCTCACAGCAGCCAAGCCCACCCCTCAGCAGCCACGCCCACCCTCAGCAGCCACGCCCACCCCTCAGCAGCCACGCCCACCTCTCAGCAGCCACGCCCCCTCTCAGCAGCCACGCCCACCTCTCAGCAGCCACGCCCACCTCTCAGCAGCCACGCCCACCTCTCAGCAGCCATGCTGCCCCTGCCTACCATGTGCCTTTATTTTTCACTCTTCCTTTAAGTCTCTTTCACCCACAATCACTTTTGGGCATGTGAAGGTGGCTGAATGGTGACTAATATATAAAGTTAATAAATGAAGCCCTAGCACAGCAATTAGAAAC